CTGTTAGCAGGACACGCTCCTGCCCCAACCCATGATGCTCCCACCACCATGCTAGGCTGTTAGCAGGACACACTCCTGCCCCAACCCATGATGCTCCCACCACCATGCTAGGCTGTTAGCAGGACACACTCCTGCCCCAACACATGATGCTCCCACCACCATGCTAGGCTGTTAGCAGGACACACTCTTGCCTGGTTTCCATCACACATGGTTGGTCGATCTTTATCACAGAGGAGTCAAATGACACCAGGATGGGAGGAATACTCCATGGGGACCATTTGGATATTTTTCATGATATATCTATTTTTTTTTTTTATTTGGTAACATGTTTTGATATTAACGCAACTTTAGGGGAAAGCAGAGCAACCCTGCATGTTTATAACTGTAGCCTGAAGACGCCTCTTCATCTGGACTGTGAGGGAGACGAGTCCTGCTGTGTTCAGGTGGACATCAGCAACAATGACAACCCACCTCACAACAAGCTATTTCTTTTATTAGCACTCTGGCTGTCATGTTGCAGCTGCTGTGAGCAGTCACTTCCAGGGTTGACCATTAATTGCTGAGCGGGGGGACTGGGCCCGCTCCATGGGGGCATTGATCCAAGCTGCTGTTTTATGAATAGAGCTCTTTGCTCTGCAGGATAACCATTTTACCACCCCAGAAGAACAAAAAACACAATCAATGTTTTATGCAGGCAGTGACATCTTCTATTGAACATGAGCAGAACATTAAACGACAGCAGAAAGGATTCGCAGCAACAGAACGCTGCTGTTATTGTGTTTCATAGAGGCCATTTTAAATAAACTTAAAAATTCAGATCTAGCTTTAAATTAGATCAAAATATTCAAGGTGATGTCTCTATTACTGCACAGCCAGTGTTCTTTTAAGTACTTCCTGTCAAATCCTGCGGTCATAGATAATATGTTTATATTTATGCATTTAGCAGACACTTTTATTCAAAGCAGACATTAGCATGAAGGGCCGTTTCTAAGGAAAATTACATTGAAAATGTAAGTGACACTCTGGAGTGCATCCTTATAGCAATTTTAAAGCGTGCATAAATTATTTTTGGGGGCGGACCCATATCAACATCTTTCATGGGGCCCCAAATTCGTGGTAGTGCCCCTGCCTGCAGCTGTACTTGTATTTACTAAACTGATCATTTTATATTATGCACATGTCTGTTGCTGCAGAGCTGTTAGACTGCAGCTATGGGAAGCATCGGTCCTTTAAAAGCTGCTGGTTTTAACTATGTGGTTGGAAAAAAGCATCAAGCAATTAATTCACTAAGCAGTGGTGCAATTTACCAAGGATGCATTAAAAAAATGATCAACAGACCATAAGTAGTTAAAGTGTATCTTGGATTTGCATAATAGTTTTGGAGAAGCAGAAGCAAATAGCTCAACAGACCAAAGTTTGCTACTGTGGTAAAACCACATCACTGATATTTGCATTTTTAGAAAAAACCAAATGCAAAACAAATCTAAACACTGTGACTTTTTTTTTAAGCTAGTCATCTTTAAAGAGGAAGATTTGGAACACCATCAAAGACGTTAGCCACTACACCTTTAAAGAGCAGGCTGCTGCTTTAGCTCTGCTCTGTGGTTCAGATGGATTCACTTATTTGCATTTAGGGGGGTCCGTATAAAGGGGGGTGTAAAGTTTTCCTATTATGCACTTTAATACCATAAAGAATATTGTTGGTCTGTCACAGAAAATCTCAGTGGAATACACTGCAGTTAGTGGTTACAACATGACTAGATCAAAGGGTTCAGGGGGGTTGAATACTTTTTTAAAGGTATTTCCCAAAGCCAACTGTCAGGGTCGGTGGATGCTGTTGTGAACCAAAATGCAGAGTAGAAGAGGCAGGGATTATTAATTGTAAAATTTAAGAAGTAAAAATACAAAATGCATAGTCCAGAACTGATTAAAGACTGTCTCAGATTAAAGACTGTCTCAGATTAAAGTCTGTCTCAGATTGAAGATTGTCTCAGATTAAAGACTGTGTCAGATTAAAGTCTGTCTCAGATTAAAGTCTGCCTCAGATTAAAGTCTGTCTCAGATTAAAGACTGTCTCAGTTTAAAGACTGTCTCAGTTTAAAGACTGTCTCAGATTAAAGACTGTCTCAGATTAAAGTCTGTCTCAGATTAAAGACGGTCTCAGTTTAAAGACTGTCTCAGATTAAAGTCTGTCTCAGATTAAAGA